GATGGTATTTGTGGCACAAGTTCCAATGGATCATCTGAGCAACGGTATTATGCCTCTGCTTGTAGTCCATCTGCATAATCTTCTTGCAGCAACTGAGTATGTGATCCATAGTTTCGTCTGATTTCTTGCAGAGTCAATACTTGGAATCTGTCATTGATTTTTCAAGTTGTTCCAATGGCTTGTTCTTGGACTGTAAGTTCCATTTGTGAGCCACATCCATGTTTCTTCCTTGTCGATTTTATTCTCAATTTTTCCCAGGAACTGTCCATGGAGAGCCTTCTTTGGTCAGTTTTCTCTTTTGCTCTGTATTGTATTTTTACAGTATTCACTTTTTGCCTTTTGCACTTTAAGCAGTTTTCTACTATTGACTATTATGAGTGTTGGCTCTTGACTGCCTTTCACATAATCTGCCAGTGCATGTTTCTCTTCTTCTATTGTTTGTTTCACTTGCAGAAGCCCTCTGACTCCTGATTTTCTGAGCAAGTAAAGTCTGTCGACATCACTACGCGGGTGTAACGGGTAGTGGATTGTCATAACTTTTCTTGTTTTTCAGTCCATTATTATTATTATTATTATTATTATTATTATTATTATTATTCATGCCCAGACTTAATTTTGAAATTTTATACTACTACATTTGGCCTGGCCATAGGTTTTTAAATGCATGTGTGTAACTGCTTATAGTTTATTGTTATGTGATTTATATTAATTGTATTGTATTGATTGTTTTGTTATTGCTTTTGTCTATTGATGTACTGTGGGCTTCGCCTCATGTAAGCCGCACCGAGTCCCTTGGAGAGATGGTAGCAGGGTATAAATAAAGATTATTATTATTATTATTATTATTATTATTATTATACTTTTTACTAGTATAATTGAAAACATCTATTAGCAGACCGGGACCTGAATTGGGTGTCCATTGCCTCATTAAAAACATGGAAACTTCACTATTACCCTGCCAGTTTTAAGCATGAATTTTAAATTCGTGTCCTTTGTTTAATATCTGTTTTGCATATGTAAAGTAAAGGTAAAGGTTTCCCCTGACATTAAGTCTAGTCGTGTCCAACTCTGGTGAGTGGTGCTCATCTCCATTTCTAAGCCAAAGAGCCGGCATTGTCCGTAGACACCTCCAAGGTCCTGTGGCCAGCATGACTGGCTGGCACGCCGTTACCTTCCTGCAGAAGTGATACCTATTGATCTATTCACATTTGCATGTTTTCGAACTGCTAGATTGGCTAACAGAGGGAGCTCACCCTGCTCCCCGGATTCGAACCGCCAACCTTTGGGTCAGCAAGTTCAGCAGCTCAGCAGTAGAAATACATTTAATATATATCTTTTATAGAAATATATTTTAATATGTGCTTTTGTAACATTTTTTTTACAATGTTTATGTGTTTTAATTATTCCACAACCCACCTTGAGCCCTGAGGAGAGGCAGGTATGAAATAATAATAATAATAATAATAATAATAATAATAATAGCAACAACACATAATCCTGATATTCAGATATTAAGATGAGGCTGAAAATGAGGAAGGAAGAAGTTCAAGACTGAGCTGCAAATACATTTGTGCACATCAATATCCTAGCAATTGTTATTATCTTGATTATTACCAGCCCGTTTCCTTTCCTAGAAGCAAATGGCAAAGCATTGCACATCCAGTGAAAGTATTTTCAGCCACACTGGGGTTCTGTCATAGGAGTTGCCTGGAACAGGACTGGGCATAGCTAAGTGTGGGCCAGTGTGCTCTGCCAACCGAGGCCCTTTGGGCTTCTTCTCTTTTAGCAAAATGGATAAATGCATGAATAATTGAACCTTTGCAGTATTGATTGACACGTGCCTGCCATTAGCTCCGGCAGAAACCAAGCCAATGCTTTTCCAATGCATCCGTGGCCTTACGAAACCAATCTGCCTTTCTTGCTTGGAAAAAGGACAAATCCAAGCAGGGAAATTTGTTGTGACACATGCTGGACAGAGGATGAAGGCAGTAGAAGCCTGGTGAAGATAATGCAAGAAAGCAACTCTTGGGCTATGAATACTCACACTGGAAGCAGATCGCATTAAAATTAATGGCACACATTACCAAGCATCCATGCAGGAGCAACAGCATCTAAAAGGTTTCCAACCCATCTTTCAGATCTCAAAGGAAAGGAATATACAAGGGTTGAATGAAAAGTAATGCCTCCACCTTTGTAACTCAACAGATGTCAGTACTGGTATGCGGCAGGTACTGGCTTGTTCAGTAGACTCTCCTCTACAGTTCCATTTTGGCAGGAAGCCTTAGCATTGAACAGTTGTGTTGTTAAAGTGCAAAGTATGGATCCCTGCGCAGATGATCGGTCAATGCAACTTAAGCAACGTGCAGTCATTGAATTCTTGACAGCAGAAGGTGTTACCTCAACATCTTTAAACTTACTCATCCAACGATGCACAGTACTCACATCAACACAATCACCATAAACAGCTTGCATTCTCTGATGAATCTCCTTTGGGGTGACACCTTCTGCTGTCAAGAATTCCGTGTTCTCAAATAATATGCTGTGTCCAGGTTGGTTCATCGTGGCTGATTAAGGCCATGATTAAAAACTCGGAACCAATCCCTTTTGGGAGACAGGAGAGACCTTCAGTTTGCTCTACGACAGTGGTACTCAACCTTCCTAAGGACTCCTTAATACAGTTCCTCATAGAAACATAGAATCAAAGAGTTGGAAGAGACCTCATGGGCCATCCAGTCCAACCCCCTGCCAAGAAGCAGAATATTGCATTCAAATCACCCCTGACAGATGGCCATCCAGCCTGTTTAAAAGCTTCCAAAGAAGGAGCCTCCACCACACTCCGGGGCAGAGAGTTCCACTGCTGAACGGCTCTCACAGTCAGGAAGTTCTTCCTCATGTTCAGATGGAATCTCCTTTCTTGTAGTTTGAAGCCATTGTTTCGTGTCCTAGTCTCCAGGGAAGCAGAAAACAAGCTTGCTCCCTCCTCCTTCCTGTGGCTTCCTCTCACATATTTATACATGGCTGTCATATCTCCTCTCAGCCTTCTCTTCTTCAGGCTAAACGAGCCCAGCTCCTTAAGCCGCTCCTCATAGGGCTTGTTCTCCAGACCCTTGATCATTTTAGTCGCCCTCCTCTGGGCACATTCCAGCTTGTCAATATCTCTCTTGAATTGTGGTGCCCAGAATTTTTTGTTGCTACTTCATAACTGAAATTGAGCCAAATATGAATTTCAATGTAAATATCTGATATGCAGGATGTATTTTCATTCACTGGACCAAATTTGGCACAAATACCTATACACCCAAATTTGAACACTGGTGGCGTTGGATGGGGGAGTGATTTTGTCATTTGGGAGTTGTAGTTGCTGGGATTTATAGTTCACTTACAATCAAAGAGCATTCTGAACTCCACCAATGATGGAATTGAACCAAACTTGGTACACAGAACTCCCATGACCCTCAGAAAATACTAGAAGGGTCTGGCGGGCATTGACCTTTGGGTTTGGGAGTTGTAGTTTACCTACATCCAGAGAGCACTGTGGACTCAAACAATGATGGATCTGGACCAAACTTGGCACGGATACTCAATATGCCTAAATGTGAACACTGGTGGAGTTTGGGGAAAATAGACTTCTTTGTTTGTTGTTGTTCATTCGTTCAGTCGTCTCCGACTCTTCGTGACCTCATGGACCAGCCTACGCCAGAGCTCCCTGTCGGTCGTTACCACCCCCAGCTCCCTCAAGGTCAGTCCAGTCACTTCAAGGATGCCATCCATCCATCTTGCCCTTGGTCGGCCCCTCTTCCTTTTGCCTTCCACTTTCCCCAGCATAATTTTCTTCTCTAGGCTTTCCTGTCTCCTCATGATGTGGCCAAAGTACTTCAACTTTGTCTCTAGTATCTTTCCCTCCAGTGAGCAGTCGGGCTTTATTTCCTGGAGGATGGACTGGTTGGATCTTCTCGCAGTCCAAGGCACTCTCAGCCCTTTCCTCCAACACCACAGCTCAAAAGCATCGATCTTCCTTCGCTCAGCCTTCCCTAAGGTCCAGCTCTCACATCCGTAGGTGACTACAGGGAATACCATGGCTTTGACTAGGCGGATCTTTGTTGCCAGTCTGATGTCTCTCCTCTTCACTATTTTATCGAGACTGGACATTGCTCTCCTCCCAAGAAGTAAGCGTCTTCTGATTTCCTGGCTACAGTCTGCATCTACAGTAATCTTTGCACCTAGAAATACAAAGTCTGTCACGGCCTCCACGGTTTCTCCCTCTATTTTCCAGTTGTCAATCATTCTTGTTGCCATAATCTTGGTTTTTTTGACGTTTAGCTGCAACCCGGCTTTTGCGCTTTCTTCTTTCACCTTGATTAGAAGGCTCCTCAGCTCCTCCTCGCTTTCAGCCATCAGAGTGGTGTCATCTGCATATCTGAGGTTGTTAATGTTTCTTCCAGCAATTTTCACCCCAGCTTTGCATTCATCCAGCCCCGCACATCGCATGATGTGTTCTGCATATAAGTTAAAAAGGTTGGGTGAGAGGATGCAGCCTTGCCGTACGCCTTTCCCAATCTTGAACCAGTCTGTTGTTCCGTGGTCAGTTCTGACTGTTGCTACTTGGTCCTTGTACAGATTCCTCAGGAGAGAGACAAGGTGGCTTGGGATGCCCATCCCACCAAGAACTTGCCACAATTTATTATGATCCACACAGTCAAAGGCTTTGGGATTTATAGTTCACCTACAATCATAAAGCATTCTGAATCCCACCAATGATAGAATGGGGCCAAATGTCTCACACAGAACCCCCATGACCAACAGAAAATGCTATGTTATCTGATAGTCTTTGGCGACCCCTCTGACACCACCTTGTGGCCCACCCCAGGGGTCCCGACCCCCAGGTTGAGAAACAGTGCTCTATGAGTAGAAATAAGATGTTGTATAACATGATCCTGGAGGATGCGGTGCAAAGGCAAAACTGCAGGTCTACCATCTGGAATGGTAATTACAACAACAACAACAATAATAATCTTTATTTAATACCCCGCCACCATCTCCCCAATGGGGACTCGAGGCGGCTTACATGAGGCCAAGCCCAGCAGCATATTACAATAAAATAAAACCAAAACACAATAGCAACACAATAAAATACATGATGGGAAACTAGTAGAAGTAAACCAGGATCCAAACCGAGCCAGTTTTGCCTCTCAAGAACTCAGAATGTAGGCCTTTCTTCTGCTCATTCAGTACAAGAGGGGATGCAATGGAAGTTTGCAAAGATCAGACTGATGCATTCAAGTGTAGGTTCTAGGTCCGCACTGATGTTCACATTGGAAAACCCCGCAGCTAAATCACTTCTTTCCCCACATTCAGGGCTCGCACATCAATTGAGCTATTAATTTATTTTGTTTTCCGTTTGGGCAGAGGGGCTGGACGCCTGCAATCTGTCGCCACCCACCCTGAAATAATAAAAAATCGAATGCCCACATTTCCCGATGGTTAAGCATCGGAGCCACAAAACCGGGCAGAAACAGGAAGCCCTCCCACTAGGTGGGAAGGGTGCTTTTAAAACAAGGTTAAATCGAACAGCAGTCCACTTCCAGGATTGCGTGGAGTCAGGCACACGCCCTGCAATGTAAACATCCCAAAACTGCAACTCAGCTTTCCTCCGCCCACCCACCTTTCCTCTTCAGCCAATTTGCCCTATAAGAAACCTCCCTTTAGCTTCTCCAGATCTCTGTTTCAGTGCTAGGGAAGCCAAATTATTATTTAACTACCAATTGATGGAGTAGATACCATATGTACAATTGGTGTTGAGTTTTTGCTGCAAGGATAGCGCCCCATCGCATTCACTACTATTAAAACCTTTGATCTGGCTATCCCTTACCGCCAGCCCATAATGTTATAGGAACAACGTTCAAAAAGAGAGAATTGCATTCTCAAGCAGCACGACCCATGAACAGCTTGCTGACCATGGGCTCTGCATTCTTTCCTATACACTTTTTGACCACATCCTGCTGAACTTGCAACAATCTACTCCATAAGTAATGGCTTATCATATTCCACCCATTTTGTCAATCTCCAAGTTGAGTGCCTGACATTGGCCTGGAGATTCAGGGAAGCCAAGAGCTCTAAAAGCATTGCTGTGAGTTTTCCAGTCTGCATGGCCATGTTCCAGAAGCATTCTCTCCTGACGTTTCGCCCACATCTATGGCAGGTATCCTCAGAGGTTGAGAGGTATATTGGAAACTAAGAAGAGGTTCATACATCTGTGGTGTTGGAGCATGTAAAGAAATCAGCATGTGTAAAATAAGATGTACAAAACTGGTCGGGCCATGCCGGGGAGCTGGCTGAGCCTGGGACTTTTGGATACTGTTACATTTTTCAGGTACGAGCTATGCAAGTCCTTGTAGAAACACAGTGAGACACACAGAGAGAGACAATCTGCTCTTGCTTCATGAGCTGCAGGAGGAAGATTTTCCATGTGGACAAAGAAATAACATTTTAAATCTCTCATGAAAGGACATTATGTGAGTCGATGCAACTGATCACACGATTGTACATATATTGTTCTGAATTACAAAGAGTAAACGACTTGGTTTTTATTGACCATCTGCATGGCATATTTTCTTTCCCTGGCAAGGCACTGTGTGGACTGATCAAACGTGAACTACACGTAGTTTATTATATATTACGGCATATGTGGTATGTCCAGGATGGCAGAAAGAACTCTTGTCTGTTGGAGGCAAGTGTGAATGTTGCAATTAATCACCTTGATTAGCATTGCAAAGCCTTAACCAGTATTTAGCCAGTTCCTCCCTAGCCACATTCTGCAAGGAACTAAAGATGTGGATGTTTCGTTGTCTTTCGACTGATGACCCCTATGACAAACGATTGTACTGTGATCTATTTTCACTATTTAACCTGATTCCTATATTACATCATTATGTATATATGTATGTTAAACTGAGATGATCCTGTTTCTGTCAAATTGCTCTGTTTTCATAATATCTCCTGTGCCAGTTATATTCTTATCCACCTTATTGAACTACTTACCTTTTAATCATTTTGTATGTTGGCCTCCTTCGCCCCTCCAAAATTTGGGTAGCTGTTGCTTGATGCTTGTTTATTACTGTTATGCTGTTTTCTGTCTTTTTAATTTGTAACTTGCTGTTGTTTTGCTTTTAATTGTATGTTGCCTGGGCTTGGCCTCATGTAAGCCGCCCCGAGTCCCCTTGGGGAGATGGAGGCAGGGTAGAAAAATAAAGTTCTTCTTCTTCAAAAAACTCTAAAATTAAGACCCTCTAAAAACAGGGGAATTCCAGACATGAAACAATCAGGGTCAGCTAACACTTCCAAAGGAACCCCCAGGCAGCAACCAGCCAGGCTTTGAAGTTGCAAGGCTTTGCAATGATAATTAAAGTGATTAATTGCAACATTCACACTTGCCTCCAACAAACAAGAGTTCTTTCCCCCATTTTGGACATTCCTGGGATACATAAACCCTACTTACTTTGTTTCCAATATACCTCACAAACTCTGAGGATGACAGCCATAGATGTGGGTGAAACGTCAGGAGAGAATACTTCTGGAACATAGTCATACAGCCTGAAAAACTCACAGCAACCCAGTGATTCCGGCCATGAAAGCCTTCGACAATACGTCAGGAGGGAATGCTTCTAGAACATGGCCATACAACCCAAAAAACTACAACAACCCTACGACAACAGTCCTAAAAGGTCTGAGAAAAGACCTCTGGCCTAGCCTGCAAAAGGTGGAGGGTCTTCCTGGCTGCTCTTTGGTGCAATCAGCAGCCCCACAAATCAGCCTCACTTCTGAGCTTATTTAAACCATTTGCTTGGGAACGGGAAGCTTGAAAACAAGAAGGCCATCCATTCTCTTTGTCGATCCCACCTCCATATTTCTTTCCTCTATGGCTCAGTGGACTGAACTACATGTTGTGGCACCATTCACGTAACACAAGAAAGAATAAAGTGTGCCTGGTCCCATTCCCCCCCCCCCCTCCACCTGCATATTTTGTCCCAATGCATCCCCATCATTGTTCACCCTTTATCTACATATATCCCTACTCCAAAGGCAAATGTAAGCTGGGGCTGGAGAGGCAATGGGAAGACACAAAAGATGAGCAGAACTGTCCAATGTTGAGCTAGACGCAGTAAGATTTCATCTCTAAAGATGGAGAGAATATTGTCCACACATTAATATCAGGAAGACATCACAGCACCAACCGAGAGAGTGTAGGAGAGCAACACAGTAGACAGGGATAAAGTTCTCTTGGTTCAAGAGAGGTCCCAGGAGCTTTGAACAGTAAAAATAGAAAATGTAAAAGTGGATAAGACAGCAAATGGCAAGGTAGCCCAAAATCCAGTCCTGGAGTGTGTCAAGTCAGAAATTGGTACAAAAAGGGACTGGTGGGAGGAGATTCTGCACCACAATCGACACAACCTGCTGTAGGATCAGGCCCAACTATTAGGCTCCATCTCAGTGTGGCAGAAATAATTTTTTCCAATAATCCATTTGAGTACAGCAACATATCACAGCCACAAAGCTGCTGTTTCGCACTATGACCCTTCCGCCAATGCGGCACCTCGTCCCCGTGCAACGTATTGGGCATAGGCCTCTTCGAACATCTCGCGGCAAGGGATGATGGCTCCAAGGCGGGCGCAGATGAGGAAGGAGCCGGCCATCTTGCGGTGCAGGGAGTAGCTCTCCTCCGGTGGAGGGCTCAGGCGGTGCTTCAGCATCACCGGGACGAGGTCCTGGATGCCCCGGGTGGTGTTCTGGGTGCCAAAGTTGAAGGGACCGTGGGTGGAGAAGGCCTCCCCCAGAATCATCACGGCATCCACGTGCGCCTCCTCAAACACCTGGAGAGAACAGGGAAGTCACAATTCCAACCACAGCTTGCAAGGGACACTTTGGGGAAGACTACGCATCCCAGGTCATGGAGATCAACTTTTAACCTGAGATCCTACACCACTGAGATACAAGTATAGTTTTACACAAGGGGTGAGCAAAGTAAAGCATGTAGGACTCCAAAGTTTTCCCCAAATGCACCCTACGAAGTGTCAGGGACCCTTTTTTCCTTCAGTGCCTTCAGTGATTGAATGTAAGATTCTCCCTGACCACACTTTGCACATAAACCATCTAGGAATTTAAGATCGTCTGGGGAGGCCCTGCTCTCAATCCCATCTGGCAGGGACGAGAGACAGGGCCTTCTCAGTGGTGGCCCCTCGGCTGTGGTACTCCCTCCCTAGGGATATTATATCGGCCCCCTCCCTCCTGACCTTCCGAAAAAAAGTAAAAACCTGGCTCTTTGAACAAGCCTTTGGAAATTCAGTGCAATAGACAAACATGGAATTCTGTAAGGTGCACTTTATTTTATGGGTTGTGCAATGAAATCCTTCCTCATTCCTGGAGCCTTATAAGTTACACTGTCCTATCTGCCAGTGTTTTTAATTTTTTTATAATTTTATCCATGCATCTGGCCCTGCCTAGTGAAATTTCCTGTGTTTTTAATGGTTGGTTTTATAATGTTGTGTTGTATATTATTTTGATTTTGCATTTTATGTATTTTGCTTGTTTTATTGTGTTTTGTGTTATTGCTTGTATTGTATTGATGGGCGTGGCCTCATGTAAGTCGCACCGAGTCTCCCTGGGGGAGATGGAGCGGGGTATAAATAAAGCTTTATTATTTATTATTATTACTTCCTTTGCTTAAAAGGAAAACTGAAGACGCAGGTTTGCAGCTTGGGAGTAATCCTGGACTCATCGCTGAGCCTGGAACCCCAGGTCTTGGCGGTGACCAGGGGCGCATTTTCACAGTTAAGGCTTGTGAAACAGCTGCACTCATACCTTGGGAAGACTGACTTGGCCACGGTAGTCCATGCTCTGGTTACATCCCGTATAGACTACTGCAAAGCGCTCTACATGGGGTTGCCTTCGGAGACTGTTCGAAAGTTTCAGATGGTCCAGTGGGCAGCAGCCAGGTTGCTAACTGGAGCACTGCTCAGGCAGCATACAAGTCCTCTATTGTGCCAATTCCACTGGCTGCCAGTTTGCTACCGGGCACAGTTCAAAGTGCTGGCTTTAGCCTATAAAGCCCTGAACAATTCCAGCCCAGCTTACTTGTCTGAATGTATCTCTCCCTATGAACCATCTAGGAATTTAAGATAATCTGGGGAGGCCCTGCTCTCGATCCCGCCTTCTTCGAAGGCATGTTTGGTGGGGACGAAAGACAGGGCCTTTTCAGTGGTGGCCCCTCAACTGTGGATCTCCCTCCCTAGGGATATTCGATTGGCTCCCTCCCTCCTAACCTTCCGAAAAAAAGTAAAAACCTAGCTCTTTGAACAAGCCTTTGGAAATGCAGTGCAATAGACAAACATGGAATTATGTAAGATTGAAATATGGAATGGCTTAGACCAGTGGTCCTCAAACCTTTTAAACAGAGGGCCAGGTCACAGTCCCTGAAACTGTTGGGAGGGCCAGATTATAATTTAGAAAAAAAATGAATGAATTCCTATGCACACTGCACATATCTTATTTGTAGAGCAAAAAACACTTTAAAACAATATAATAATTAAAATGAAGAACAGTTTAAACAAATATAAACTTATTAGTATTTCAATGGGAAATGTGGGCCTGCTTTTGGCTGATGAGATAGGATTGTTGTTGTTGTATGCTTTCAAGTTGTTTCAGACTTAGGTTGACCCTGAGTGAGGGCTGGGTAAATGACCTTGGAGGGCCGTATCCGGCCCCCGGGCCTTAGTTTGAGGACCCCTGGCTTGAACAATGCTACTGGAAAATGAGATTAACAGGAAGACATTGGTTATTATATGTTTTAATGGTTTTTGTATGGATTTTATAATGTTGTTTTAAATGTTTTAATTGTATATTGTGGATTTTTCTGGCATCGAATTGCTGCCAATTTGTACCCCCGCTGTGAGTCGCCTTCAGGTTTGAGAAAGGCGGGATAGAAATATTGTAAATAAATAAAAAGGGTTCTTTGTGCCATTTTTGTCTGTTTGGCCTCTTTTGTTCCTTTTAGGGAGGTTTGAGGGGATCAAGGAGGCAAAGTGCAGCCTTTTCCCATGTTTGGGGGAAATTGGGCTGATCTGGAAGGAAGAAATTGTTTGAATGTGGTGTGGCGGCAAAAAAAGACATTGGGATTTTGGCCTGCATCAATAGGAGCATAGTGTCTAGATCCAGGGAAGTAATGCTACCCCTCTATTCTGCTTTGGTTAGACCACACCTAGAATATTGTGTCCAATTCTGGGCACCACAATTGAAGAGAGATATTGACAAGCTGGAATGTGTCCAGAAAAGGGCAACTAAAATGATCAAGGGTCTGGAGAACAAGCCCTATGAAGAACGGCTTAAAGAGCTGGGCATGTTTAGCCTGAAGAAGAGAAGGCTGAGATATGATAGCCATGTATCAATATGTGAGAAGAAGTCACAGGGAGGAGGGAGCAAGCTTGTTCTCTGCTTCCCTGGAGACTAGGACGTGGAACAATGGCTTCAAACTACAAGAAAGGAGATTCCACCTGAACATGAGGAAGAACTTCCTGACTGTGAGAGCCGTTCAGCAGTGGAACTCTCTGCCCCGGAGTGTGGTGGAGGCTCCTCCTTTGGAAGCTTTTAAACAGAGGCTGGATGGCCATCTGTCAGGGGTGCTTTGAATGCAATATTCCTGTTGGACTGGATGGCCCATGAGGTCTCTTCCAACTCTAGGATTCTATGAAAAACACCCTGAAAAAATATTTGGGAGTCTGGAGGAATCTCATAGGTTGGGCCTAAGGTTCCCAGGAAATGAATGTGTTCTGGGGAGGGGGGGGGGGGTTGGGTTACAATTTTCCCACTCCTGTATAAACAAATGCAGTCTCTTTATTCACAGTGAGTGCACAATGATTCCCCAGAACTGAAGACAGATGTTCCTCATCAGAAAAAGTATTCAACCGCTACGACAGGCGAATTTATACAAGTAGAAGACACTAATAAGATTCCGGTCATTGTCATTAAAAAATCATTTCCAAATTCTGGTTGCAATGCATAGTCAAGTCATAGCTCTAAACCACAAACCAACTTCCCATACTGGAAATGTTTTTTTATTCCCACCCCACAACCAAAATTATTGTGAATAGTGCTACATAAAATTATACAAACATTCAAAACATATTCCATTGGTAACACATGTTTACATTATTCCCCCTCCTTCTCCCTCCCTCCCCTCCCTGGGAACAGTTTGCAAATTTTGCTGTATTTATTACGATTGTTTGATCATGAGGATAATCTTGTTTAATTCCTTATATTAATCTTTCCCCTTTATTCTGTAAATTAAGTCTTTCCATTCTGTCTCCCATGACTTTCTGATTTGGCTCATCCTGCCTGTAGTAACTTTTCCTTTCTCTAATGTAGTCTTGGAGGAGGTAGTCTGCTAAATATTTATACCATGTTTTTGTGTCACATTTCCTTTGGTCCTTCCAGCCTAAGTCAATTGAGGCTTTAATTGCATCTAACATGGAATTTATTAATCCTTCCCATTCTTTAGATCCCCTTTCGCCTTCAGTTTTCTGGGGGAGAAATGTTACTGCCTCTGCAGAGTCCTCCATTCCACCTATAAGGATTACTGCATCATCTGCAGATAAATTAATTTTTATTTCTTCTCTATCTATTATTTATTATTATTTATTTAAAACATTTCTATCCCGATCTTCTCAACCTCTGTAGAGGGACTCAGACCAGCTTACAGCAAGGATTCAATGCTAATAGTACAATCTAAAAACATCATATAATAACGAGTTAAAATACAGTGTGTTCCCTTTATTGAGGTCAGATATGGGTATACCAGTCATTTTGCAAAAACCTCAGCCATGGTACTTACAAATGGTCAGCGACTCTTTCTAATAAGAGAAAACCAGAGAGTTTTTCAAGCTGTGGGATTACTTTTGGAAAGCTACTTATATCTATCTATCTATCTATCTATCTATCTATCTATCTATCTATCTATCTATCTATCTGGGTTGTTGTAGGTCTTTTCGGGCCACACAACCATGCTCCAGAGGCACTCCCTCCCAACCGCATCTACGGCAAGCATCCTCAGAGGTAGTGAGGTGAGCACCCTCACTACCTCTGAGGATGCCCACCACAGATGCAGGCAAAACGCCAGGAGATAATGCCTCCAGAACATGGCCACACAGCCCGAAAAAACCCACAACCCAGTGATTCCGGCTATGAAAGCCTTCGACAATACATATAGATTTATATTTTTTTCTGACCTAATTAGGTTGACTAAGGGTTCTACCCCCTGGAGCATTGCAGCGCACCCAAATACCTGGGAGTCACTCTGGACCATGCTCTGATCTACAAGAAGCACTGCCTGAACATCACGCAAAAAGTGGGCGCTAGAAACAATATCATACGAAAGCTGACTGGCACAACCTGGGGATCACAACCAGACACAGTGAAGACATCTGCCCTTGCGCTATGCTACTCTGCTGCTGAGTAGCATGCCCAGTGTGGAACACATCTCACCACACTAAAACAGTGGATGTGGCTCTTAATGAGACATGCCGCATTATCACGGGGTGTCTGCGCCCTACACCACTGGAGAAATTACACTGCTTAGCCGGTATTGCACCACCTGACATCCGCCGGGAAGTAGCAGCCAATAGTGAAAGGACCAAGGCAGTGACATCTCCAGCTCATCCCTTGTTTGGGTATCAGCCAGCACATCAACGACTTAAATCAAGAAATAGTTTTCTAAGATCTACAGAGACACTCGCTGGAACACCTCAGCAAGCGAGAGTCCAAAAGTGGCAGGCTCAAACCCAGAACCTCAATCAATGGCTGATACCAAATGAGAGACTCCCCCCTGGGCACACAGAAGACTGGGAGACTTGGAAGGCACTGAACAGACTGCGCTCTGGCACCACGAGATGCAGAGCCAACCTTAAGAAATGGGGCTACAAAGTGGAATCCACGACATGCGAGTGTGGAGAAGAGCAAACCACTGACCACCTGCTGCAATGCAACCTGAGCCCTGCCGCATGCACAATGGAGGACCTCCTTGCGGCAATACCAGAGGCACTCCAAGTGGCCAGATACTGGTCAAAGGACATTTAATCAACTACCAAGTTTGCAAAATTTGTGTTTTTTTTATCTGTTTGTTTGTTTTGTTCTGTTAGAAATGTAATACAATGGTATGGTTGCTGATGACACGATAAATAAATATCGCTAGGGCGAAGAGTAGTGGAGAGAAAGGGCAGCCTTGTTTGGTTCCATGCTGGAAATGTGATGAGGAGCATGCAAGGATCGCATCTGTTAAACACATGAGTATGACTCTTCCTGTGGTGAAGCCCCTGAGAAGTTGCAACTGGGTGTCCTCCTCCCACTATGACTGGAAATCATAATCCACGTCAGAGCCATTTTTCTTATAAAAATTAATCTATACCCACAAGCGTTCTGTACGCCTCCAATCAACATTCCTGCACCTCCTCAAACCCAATAAAGTTTAATGCTCTGTCACAATACTGGCCTCTTTTGGCAGTTTAGCCAAGTAATTTCTTTCATGATACGATCCACATAAGTCACACCAATCCCGAAGCCATCCAAATTGGGATGTTTGGGAAGAATAATATGGGAACACACCCTGGGCTTTAGGTTGCTAATCCAGAGATAAAAGGAATTCCCGGGGGCTTTTTGACATTACAAAATTATATTGCTCTCATTCCACATCAATGGTGCAGTGCCAGCCTACAGAATCCTAGGATTTGCAGTTTAGGGATAGGTAGTTAGAGTTCTGGAGAACTGTAAGGCCTCCATTACATCGCCCGCTTGAGCCCAGGGGACTCCTGGCAATGTGCAGAAAACTGGAGGAGTGCCAGAGAACCATTGCCCCTACATTCAGACCCCAAGAACCTCTTTGATGCAGCGATGGCTGTGAAGCAACTTTTACTTCTATCTTATGGAATCCTGAGATTTGCAATTTAGGGATTTTTACCTTTCTCAGCCAGAGTGCACTAGGGCCTTGCCAGAAATATTAAAAATTAACTACGTATATATTTTTAATTACAAAAATGTGATTCAAGTACATTATAAATAAAGGATTTTTTATTATTATTATGTAGTCGGTGATGACAACTGGGCCAACCTGGACTAACAAAGGCCAAATACTATAGTAGTTCTCAACCAGGGGTCCAGTCATGATCTCACATTATAGAGCTATAGATGGCTATAGTTGAAGCATGGGCAAACTTTGGCCCTCCAGGTGTTTTGGACTTGAACTCCCACAATTCCTAACAGCCTACTGGCTTACAGTGAGACCTACTAACACTGAGGCCTTCACACACTGAGGGCTCTCTCAAACTGAGGCCTTTCTCCCACTGTGGCAAATTAACACTGAGGCCTACTCATATAGAGGCCTGAACATAACCACAGAATAGATTCCAGTAGGTGGTGCTGTGCTATTTAAACTGGCCAGAGAGGGAAGCCTGTTGCCACTTGCCTTTTGAACCATTGAGAATTTCTGAAGACAGGCCTTCTGGATGTCACTGAACTTTAACTTCTAGCCTTCTTCAACACTGGGGCTCCTGGGGACCAAAGGTCACCAAGTTCTGGTGCATTACACAATTCCAAACCTTGTTCTAGACTGGCCCTGTGCAATCGCACACACCACATGACAAAGACACAAAGCTTGAACAGAGGAATTGAAGGGCTTTGCAAAAGGGAGGCACAGATGCTCCTAAGTCAATAGGGATTTAGATTGCTTCAAAAAGATCGTGAATGTTTCAAAACAAGTTGGGAAAGGTGTTGATATTGAAAGGAGATGTTCCTTTGAGAAGATTAACTGCAGCCAGTACACTAATTTAAGGGGATAATAACATAATGTTGAACGATGGTAGTGAAAATGAGACCCTGCCTTCTCTTGGATCCTGCAGTTATCCTGTTGCCTATTCCATGCCACCCCATGCCCCTTCCTTGGCGGAGTTTCTTCCCAACCCTTGGCAAAGCAGACTTCCTCATCCATTATGCTCAGATGCACTCACCTTGGTCTCAAACCCCGTCATGAATTTAAGGTCTTTGGATTTCTGGAGGACTTTGGCCCTGTCCCCATCAGCAGCAGCTCTCACCACCTGGTTACACCGGAAAAGAATTTGGTCATGTACAAATACTCCTCTAAATCAGCGCTTCTCAAAGTGTGCTCCGCAGAGCCTTTTCCCCTTGGCCCCCTTGCCACTCAAAAGCATTTTTTCTTCACTTCCTTTGCCACCCAAAGCCTTTGCCCCTTTCCCCCTTGCCTTCCTTGCTTCCAAACCCCCATTTCCTTCCCACCACTGAGCGAGTGCTTTGATTACGCTTTTCTTGCATTGCAGAAAGGAGTTGAACTGCATGATCCCTGGGGCTGCTCCTATTATTATTGTTATTGTTATTATTATTTCTATTATTACAAAGGCTCAGTGGCCATTTGCTGGGAGTGCTTTGATTGTGTTTTCCCTCCACGGCAGATAAAATACCGTATATACTCGACTATAAGCTGAGTTTTTCAGCCCTTCTTTGGCTGAAAAAGGCCCCCTCGGCTTATACACAAGTCAAAGTTGTTTATTATTTTACTCTGTTGTTGTTACTACATTTATTATTTTACTCTATTATTATTTTATTACATTTATTATTTTACTCCATTTATTATTACTATTACATTTATTATTTTACTCTATTTATTATTATTATTACATTTATTATTTTACTCTGTTATTGTTACTATTACATTTACATTATTTTACTCTATTGTTATTTTTATTACATTTATTATTTTACTCTATTATTGTTACTATTACATTTACAGTATTTACTCTATTATTATTTTTATTACATTTATTATTTTACTCTATTATTGTTACTATTACTTTCATATTATTTTACTCTATTATTATTATTACATTTATTATTTTACTCTATTTTATTACATTTATTATTTTACTCTATTATTGTTACTATTACTTTCATATTATTTTACTCTATTATTATTATTACATTTATTATTTTACTTTATTATTGCTATTATTACATTTATTATTTTACTCTATTATTACTGTTATTATTACATTTCCATTATTTTACTCTATTATTATTTTTATTACATTTATTATTTTACTCTATTTTATTACATTTAATATTTTACTCTATTATAACTGTTACATTTACAGTATTTTACTCTATTATTATTTTATTACATTTATTATTTTATTCTATTTTATTACATTTATTATTTTACTCTATTATTGTTACTATTACATTCATTTTATTTTACTCTATTATTATTATTACATTTATTGTTTTTCTTTATTATTGCTATTATTACATGTATTATTTTACATTATTATTGCTATTATTACATTTATTATTTTACTCTATTATTACTGTTATTATTACATTTCCATTATTTTACTCTATTATTATTGAGAGGATACGTAAGTAATAAAGATAGCAAAGTGGACAGTGAGTGCAGTTTCCCTTCTGTGTTCAAAAATCTATGATGACGAAAGATGGAGCTTCTCTCTTCCTACGATGCCGCCCTTATTGCAAACCATCAGCTTTCCTGCCCCACCTGGGCATAAATTCAGCACTTACCTCAATGTAATCATCGGTGAACTCCTTGCTGAAGTCTCGACTGGCCCCAAAGTCCAACAGAGTAACCTGGAAAGAGCACGGTGTTAGACATGTCACTAGTATTACGTGGGGCTGCAGGGAAGAGAGATTCAAGTCTCATAAACCCTCTTCTTCTCCCCACCACACCTTGTGCCTCTTAGCATCGTAGAAGAAATTAGACCAGTTTGGATCGGTTTGCATGAAACGGAATTCAAACAGCTCCTGGAGACACAGGCGAAGGATGTGTGAGCAGATCTGGAAAGAGGAAAAGACAGACTGAATGAGCCTTCAGCATGTTTAGAATGGCCTGGAAGGAGCTGGAAATCCTTCTAGAGCAGGCATGAGCAAACTTTGGCCCTCCAGGTGTTTTGGACTTCAAGTCCAAAACACCTGGAGGCTGAAGTCCAAAACACCTGGAGGGCCGAAGTTTGCCCATGCCTGCTCTAAAGAAATTCCACAAGCAGCGGTCTATTATATTCAGTATAATTATATTATATACAATATAATGCTATTATTTTATTTATCGTGTCATCAGCAACCATTGTATTACAATTCTAACAGAGCAAAACAAACACAGAGATTAAAAAGAAAAAGAAAAAAAAGAAAGAAAGAAAAAAAAACCACACAGATTTTGCAAATTTGGTATTTGGTTAAATGTCCTTTGACCAGTATCTGGCCACTTGGAGTGCCTCTGGGGTTGCCGCAAGAAGGTCCTCCATTGTGCATGTGGCAGGGCTCAGGTGGCATTGCAGCAGGTGGTCAGTGGTTTGTTCTTCTCCGCACTCACATGCCGAGGATTCCACCCTGTAGCCCCATTTCTGAAGGTTGGCTCTGCATCTCGTGGTGCCAGAGCGCAATCTGTTCAGCGCCTTCCAAGTCGCCCAGTCTTCTGAGTGCCCAGGGGGGAGTCTCTCATCTAGTATTACCCATGAATTGAGGTGCTGGGTTTGGGCCTGCCACTTTTGGACTCTCGCTTGCTGGGGTGTTCCAGCGAGTGTCTCTGTAGATCTAAGAAAACTATGTCTTGATTTAAGTCGTTACTAATAATAACGCTACTAATAATAATGCTACTAATATGATATTATAATTATATATTTTGTATTACATGAAATATTACTAATAACATTATGGTATAATGGAATATTACAGTATAGTAATATCTATATAAATAAAAATGTAATGTTCGTTTGTGGGATTAACAGAACTCAAAAACCACTGGACGAATTGACACCAAATTTGGACACAAGACACCTAACAACCCAATGTATGTCCTTCACACAAAAAATTGATTTTGTCATTTGGGAGTTGTAGTTGCTGGGATTTATAGTTCACCTACAATCAAAGAACATTCTGAACTCCACCAATGATGGAATTGAACCAAACGTGGCATACAGGACTCCCATGACCAACAGAAACACTAGAAGGGTTTGGTGGGCATTGACCTTGAGTTTGGGAGTTGTAGTTCACCTACATCCAGAGATCACTGTGGACTTAAACAATGATGGATCTGGACTAAACTCAATATGCCCAAATGTGAACACTGTTGGAGTTTGGGGAAAATAGAATCTTGACATTTGGGAGTTGTAGTTGCTGGGATTTGTAGTTCACCTACAATCAAAGAGCATTCCGAACCACAACAACGATGGAATTGAATCAAACTTGGCACACAGTTCATGACCAACAGAAAATACTGGAAAGGTTTGGTGGGCAGTGTCCTTTGGTTTTGGAGTTGTAGCTTCACCTACATCCAGAGATCACTGTGGACTCAAACAATGATGGATCTGGACCAAACTCTACACGAATACTCAATATGCCCAAATGTGAACACTGGTGGAGTTTGCGGAAAATAGAATCTTGACATTTGGGAGTTGTAGTTGCTGGGATTTATAGTTCACCTACAATCACAGAGCATTCTGAACCCCACCAACGATAGAATTGGGCCACAGAACCCCCATATGGGCCACAGCAACGCATGGCAGGGGACGGCTAGTATACAATACAATACTAGTACTATTTATTTATTTATCGAGTCATCAGCAACCAGACAATTATATTACATTTCTAACAGAACAAAGCAAACAAACAGACAAAATACAAAATAAAGAATACAAAATTTGTGAGTTTGGTAGTTGATTAAATGTCCTTTGACCAGTATCTGGCCACTTGGAGTGCTTCTGGTGTTGCTGCAAGAAGGTCCTCCATTGTGCATGTGGCAGGGCTCAGGGTGCATTGCAGCAGGTGGTCAGTGGTTTGCTCCTCTCCACACTCCACACTCGCATGTCGAGGATTCCAATTTTTAGCCCCATTTCTGAAGGTTGGCTCTGCATCTCATGGTGCCAGAGCGCAGTGTGTTCAGTGCCTTCCAAGTCACCCAGTTTTCTGTGTGCCCAGAGGGGAGTCTCTCACTTGGTATCAGCCATTGGTTGAGGTTCTCGGTTTGAGCCTGCCACTTTTGGACTCTCGCTTGCTGAGGTGTTCCAGCGAGTGTCTCTGTAGATCTTAGAAAACTATTTCTAGATTTAAGTCATTGACGTGCTGGCTGATACCCAAACAGGGGATGAGCTGGAGATGTCTCTGCCTTGGTCCTTTCACTATTGGCTGCTACTTCCCGGCGGATGTCAGGTGGTGCAAACCGGCTAAGCAGTGTAATTTCTCCAGTGGTGTAGGGTGCAGACACCCCGTGATAATGCGGCATGTCTCATTAAGAGCCACATCCACTGTTTTAGTGTGGTGAAATGTGTTCCACACTGGGCATGCATACTCAGCAGAAGAGTATCACAGTGCAAGGGCAGATGTCTTCACTGTATCTGGTTGTGATCCCCAGGTTGTGCAAGTCATACTACTACTAATAATATGATATTATAATTATATATTTTATAATACGTGTAATATTACTAATAACATTACAGTATAATGGAATAGTACAATATAGTAATACATAATACTAATATTGTGCAATGCTAATAATATAATATATTGTATTTACATATTACTTGTAAGCTGCTCTGAGTCCCCTTCAGGGTGAGAAGGGCAGCATATAAATGCCATAAATAAATAAATAATATTCCGCTTCTCACCTCATTACGGACCTCCTGGTCGAGCGCCTGGCACTGGTCGAGGGGGACCCCGTCAATCAGCTCCATAGATAAGACCCTCCTGGTGGAGAGCTCATTAATCACCTTTGGCACCTCAAAGAAGGGGTCTCCTTCCAAAAGCTGCCTGTAGAAAAAAGATGGTGGTCAAGAAGCCTTCGGCAAGGAAAACACACAGCCCTATATCCCAGAATATCAAGGCAGGAAATCCCACAATATGAACTGGGTTATCTGAGTCCACACTCAGATAATGTGGGATTTTCTGTCTTGATATTCTGGAATATAGGGCTGTGTGGAAGGGCCCTGAGACTCCTCCTATACTGCTATATAACCCAGGTTATAATCCAGTCCAAAGTAGATAATCTTTATTTTATATGGCATTGTAAAAGGGGTTTTAGACTGCAACTCCGTGCAAGGGGAGTGAAAGACTCAAAGCACGCATTAGAGTATCTGCTTTGAACTGGATTATACGTCAGTGTAGACTCATATAATCCAGTTCAAGGCAGATAATCTGTATTTTATATGGCAGTATAGAAGAGGCTTTAGATGGCAACTGAGTGCAAGGGGAGTTAATGACTGAGACAAAGCGCCCATCAGATTATTTACTTTGAACTGGATTATATGGCAGTGTAGACTCATATAAGCCGCCCTGAGTCCCTTCGGGGACATGGTGGCGGGGTATAAATAAAGCTTTATTATTATTATTATTATTATTATTATTATTATTATTATATAATCCAGTTCAAAGCAGATAATCTGTAATTTATATGACAGTGTAGAAGAGGCTTTAGACTCCAACACAATGCAAGAGAAGTGAAGGACCGAAACAAAGCACCCATCAGGTTATCCACGTTGAACTGGATTATATGGCAGTGTAGACTCATATAATCCAGTTCAAATCAGATAATCTGTAATTTATATGGCAGTGTAGAAGAGGCTTTAGACTCCAACTCAATGCAAGGGAAGTGAAGGACCGAGACAAAGCACCCATCAGGTTATCCACATTGAACTGGATTATATGGCAGTGTAGACTCATATAATCCAGTTCAAATCAGATGATCTGTAATTTATATGACAGTGTAGAAGAGGCTTTAGATGGCAATTGGGTGCAAGGGGAGTGAAGGACTGAGACAAAGCACTCATCTGATTATCTGCTTTGAACTGGATTATATGGCAGTGTAGACTCATATAATCCAGTGCAAAGAAGATAATCTGTATTTTATATGGCAATGTAGAAGGAGCTTTAAACTGCAATTCAATGCAAGGGAAGTGAAGGACCGAAACAAAGAAGGCTATAATTATCAAAACAGGTAATTCACATTATCTGCTTTGAACTGGATTATATGAGCCTACACTGCCTTGAATTGGATTATATGGCAGTGTAGACTCATATAATCCAGTTCAAAGCAGATAATGGGATTTACCTGTTTTGATAATTATATGGCAGTGTAAAGGGGGCCTTAGTCTCTTCTCAAAACTGGGCAAAGCTGAGGAAGTGACAATGGTGCCATATTACGAAAAGAGGAAAGGTTGGAAAGGAGAGATCTCATCCAGAGAGACGTAGAAGGAGCTTGGTCTATGAGACTGGACAAGTAATTATTCAGGACTAGATCTTAAATGGGGAAGCAGTTACGGGATTATTTTGAGAAATATGAAGGAAGCATCCCAGAGGGAAAGAAAAACCCCATGGATCCTAGGGATTTGTTCTTGGCTACCTGAACCTCCTGGCACAGTCAGCTTCCCGTTCGTAGTCGCATTCCCATTCCAGCTCCTTCTGCAGGACTTGCAGAGTGTTGTCTGCAAAGAGACCTAGAAGGAGGAAGAATATGCTTGCATGAGGTGAAAAGTCTTAGTAGTTTAGTATTTTCCTTTGCAAAATAAAGCTAGTGCAAAAACTCCATATACTCCCAGTTTTACAGGCATAATAATAATAAGGAAAGGTTTCCCCTTGACATTAAGTCCAGTCATGTCCAACTCTGGAGAGTGGTGCTCATAGATGTAGGCAAAATGTCAGGAGAGAATGCTTCTAGAACACGGCCATACAGCCCGAAAAACCTACAACAGCCCAGTGATTCTGGCCATGAAAATTTTGACAGTATTTTCTGTTGGTCAAGGGGGTTCTGTGTGGGAAGTTTGACCCAATTGTATTGTTGGTGGGGTTCAGAATGTTCTTTGATTTTAGGTGAACTATAAATCCCAGCAACTGCAACTCCCAAATGTCAAGGTATATTTTCCCCAAACTTCACCAGTGTTCACATCTGAACATACTGGGTGTTTGTGCCAAGTTTGGTCCAGATCCATTATTGTTTGAGACCACTGGATGTAGGTGAACTACAACTCCCAAACTCAAGGTCAATGCCCACCAAACCCTTCTGGTATTTTCTGGAATGTCATGGGAGTTCTGTGTGCCAAGTCTGGTTCATTTTCATGGTTGGTGGAGTTCAGAATGCTCTTTAATTATAAATCCCAGCAACTACAACTCCCAAATGACAAAATGTATGGGGTATTTGTGCCAAATTTGGTCTAGTGACTGAAAATACATCTTGCATATCAAATATTTACATGACAATTCATAACAGTAGCAAAATGACAGTTATGAACTAGCAGCAAAAACAATTTTATGGTTGGGGGTCACTACAACATGAGGAACCTTATTAAGGGGTCACGGCATTAGGAAGATTGAGACACACTGCTCTTGGATGTAAGGACCCCAGAGAATTAATGGGGTCCAATCTGAGTAGTTCCCTTTCTGGATCAAACTGTTTTTGCAACACAACAACTCTCATGGCCATAAGAAGCTACAGGATGTTCTCATACTCCCCCCCCCCCCAACCTGTTCTTTCTCACTCACAGACCACAGGTATTACCTTCGGGGAGTGCAACACTCATCTTGAGGACGGAGAGAAGGTTATCCACATCACTTCGGATACTCTGAGCAATACCTGGATACTGCAGGGAAAGGTAGAGAGAAAAATACCTCTTCACACCAGGACTGGCTAAGCTGCCTGCATGTAGCCAGTGTCTTTTCCCACCAACCTCCACTTAATAGAGCAGTGGTTCTCACCCTGTGGGTCCCCAGGTGTTTTGGCCTACAACTCCCAGAAAACACAGCCAGTTGACCAGCTGTTAGGATTTCTGTGAGTTGAAGGCCAAAACATCTAAGATACAGAATGGGGGACGCGTAGCTCAATAGCAGTACGTGTGAAAAAGATCCTCATGGACAACAAGTTAAACATGAGCCAACAATATGATGCGGCAGCAAAAGAAGCCAATGGGATTTTGGCCTGCATCAATAGGAGCATAGTGTCCAGATCTAGGGAAGTCATGCTACCCCTCTATTCTGCCTTGGTCAGACCACACCTGGAATATTGTGTCCAAGCATAGAGCATAGTGTCCAGATCTAGGGAAGTCATGCTCCCCATGCTCTATTCTGCCTTGGTTAGACCACACCTGAAATATTGTGTCCAATTCTGGGCACCACAACTGAAGAGAGATATTGACAAGCTGGAATGTGTCCAGAGGAGGGCGACAAAAATGATCAAGGGTCTGGACAAGAAACCCTATGAGGAGTGGCTTAAAGAGCTGGGCATGTTTAGACTGAAGAAGAGAAGGCTGAGAGGAGACATGATACCCATGTATAAATACATGAGAGTGAGTCATAGGGAGGAGGGAGCAAGCTTGTTTTCTGCTGCCCTGGAGACTAGGACGCGGAACAACGGCTTCAAACTACAAGAAAGGAGATTCCATCTGAACATTAGGAAGAACTTCCTGACTGTGAGAGCTGTTCAGCAGTGGAACTCTCTGCCCAGGAGTGTGGTAGAGGCTCCTTCTTTGGAGGCTTTTAAACAGAGGCTGGATGACCATTTGTCGGGGGTGCTTTGAATGCAATTTTCCTGCTTCTTTGGCAGGAGGTTGGACTGGATGGCCCATGAGGTCTCTTCCAATTCTATGATCTGGGGACCTACAGGTTGAGAACCACTGCCATAGAGCAATGTGGCATTCTAGACTGTGCACATAACCAGCCCTCCCAATTCCTTCCCAACATAGCCTTACCTGGATCTTCATTGCCACTTCCGTCCCATCCTTCAACACTCCAAGGTGCACCTGTCCAATGGAGGCAGCTGCAAAAGGCGTTTCCTCAAAGGAGGCCACTTTGTCCCGCCAGTCAGCACCTAGTTCTTCCACCAGCACCCCCTGGAAAGCCAAAAGAAGAGAACCTCAAACAGGGCACCATTCAGAAAGAGCCACTACAATGTATATCAGACTAAGGGCACCACAACTATTTATTTACTGCATTTTTTTTACCCTGCTCTATCTCAACCGCTGGACTCAGAGCAACTTGGCAGTACAGTGTTCCCTCACTTATTATTCTTAGTGTTACGTTCCAGGACCACCCATGAAAAGTGAAAATCCACAAAGTAGGGATGCTATCTATCTATCTATCTATCTATCTATCTATCTATCTATCTATCTATCTATCTATCTACACACACATACACGTAAATATATATGAAATAAGAGGGCCCAGGAAGACAGTTATATCTTGCCTCCTATGTTATGCTATTAATATAATATAATATATTGCACATACTGTATATACTCGAGTATAAGCCTAGTTTTTCAGCCCTTTTTTTAGGCTGAAAAAATCCCTTTTGGCTCATACTTGAGTCAAGATTATTTATTATTTAATTCTATTATTATTACTATTACATTTATTATTTTACTTTATTATTGTTATTATTACATTTATTACTTTACTCTATTATTACTGTTATTATTACATTTCTATTACTTTACTCTGTTATTATTACATTTATTATTTTACTCTTTTATTACTGAAAGGATGTGCAAACATATTTACACTGAAAAAGGTTGGTATCATGGTTTAATCAGAGTTGGACAGTCTTATCTTAAATTACAGTTTTAAGTAAATATTCAAAAACATTTAACCTACTGATGCCTCAATTAATGTCATAGTATTGGAATCTATTTTTATTTTGGAATTTACCAGTAGCTGCTACATTTCCCATCTTCGGCGTACACTCGAATCAATATGTTTTCCCAGTTTACTGTGGTAAAATTAGGTGCCTTGGCTTATATTTGGGTCGACTTATACTCGAGTATACACGGTACATATAATATTTATGATATTATAATGTAATGTTCCAGAACCACCCACGAAAAGTGAAAATCCATGAAGTAGGGACGCTATCTATCTATCTACACACACACAAACACACGTATATATACGAAGAGAGGGGGCCCAGGAAGGCAGTTCCATCTTGTCTCCTGTGTTATGCTATTAATATAATATATACATTTAATATTTATGATATTATAATGTAATACAATATAATACTACTACTAATAATATGATATTATAATTATATATTTTATATTATATGTAATATTACTAATAGTATTACAGTACAATGGTATAATACAATATAGTAATATATAATACTGATATGATGCTACGCTAATAATATAATATATTGTATGTATATTTATCTTGTAAGCCGCTCTGAGTCCTCTTCGGGGACTGAAAGGGTTTGGTGGGCATTGACCTTGAGTTTGGGAGTTGTAGTTCACCTACATCCAGAGAGCACTGTGGACTCAAAAAAAATGATGGATTTGAATCAAACTTGACATGAATACTCAATATGCCCAAATTTGAACAGTGGTAGAGTTTGGGGGAAAACAGACCTTGACATTTGGGAGTTGTCGTTGCTGGGATTTATATCAAAGAGCATTCTGAACTCCAATATGATGATATTGGGCTAAACTTCCCACACAGAACCCTCATGACCAACAAAAACTACTGTTTTGTCAAAAGCTTTCATGGCCAGAATCACTGAGTTGTTGTAGATTTTTCACGCTGTGTGGCCATATTCTAGAAGCATTCTCTCCTGATGTTTCGCCTGCATCTATGGCAGGCATCTTCTGAGGATGCCTGCCATAAATGCAGGTGAAGCGTCAGGAGAGAATGCTTCTAGAATATAGCCATACAGCCCAAAAAAACCTACAACAACCCAGAAAATACTGTGTTCTCTGATGGTCTTTGATGACCCCGCTGACACCCCCATCACGACCCCCACAGGAGTCCTGACCCCCAGGCTGAGAAACTAAATCAGCAATCCGAATTGTGCTCGGTAGCAAATTGGCAGCCAGTGGAGCTGACACAGCAGGAGAGTTGTATGTTCCCTATGTGCTACTTCAGTGAGCAGCCTGGTAGCTGCTCGTTGGACTAGTTGAAGCTTCTGAACATTTAGCTCTTCTATGTCAGAGGGGACATTCCGGAGCCATTGTGTCAACTGCCTTAGTCATCTCCCCATTCCACAGAGTGACCAGAGCATTGACAGGATCACCTACTGAGGTGGCGGGAAATTCCCCAAGAGCCATCCCAAACTATGACAATTGCTTTGAGGCTGAACATAAAGATGTTCTGAGGCTATACAGAATAACTTCCCAGCAGTGGGCAGAATAACTTCCTGGCAGTGGCCTTAACACTAGCATTTTCTCCTGTGTGCACAAACTTCCTGATTATTGGTCTCTTTTCTTCTCCCTCCATGCCTTGCCAAGGACCAGGATACAATGGCATGTATCCAAAGGTAACCACATCCTGCTTCTATGCTGTACATGACCACAGCACCCATTCTCAACTCTCACAACGTGCCTTCATGCAACCCCGCCCACAGCTGTGACATGAGATGGCCTACCATCCCTAAATAAGCACACATGAGTGACGCACCGTCATCTGAGAGGGCGGCATGAAGTCTGCACTCTGGCGCACACGCTCGAAGATTCGCTGCAGCTGAGGACTGATGAAGCTGTTGTCTGTGGGGAGAAGGGTTAAGTGGGATGAGCGGGTATGCTGACCATCATTTGTTTTACTGGAATGCAGGTGAACCATCTCCAAGAGATGGCAAGATGGATTGAGTCATCAGTTTTGTTCTTGTTTTGTTTTTTCATGTCAGGAGCAACTTAAGAAACTGCAAGTCGCTTCTGGTGTGAGAGAATTGGCTGTCTGCAAGGACGTTGCCCAGGGGATGTTGGGATGTTTTGATGATTTACCATCCTTGTGGGAGGCTTCTCTCATGTCTGGAGCTGACAGAGGGAGCTCATCCACGCTGTCCCCAAATTCGAACCTCCGACCTGTCGGTCTTCAGTCCTGCACGCACAAGGGATTAACCCATTGCGCCACTGGGGTCTCCTATCAATAAGATAGGATGAAAGAAGAATCACCAAATTTCTCTAAGTTGTGGTGCAGCTGAGTGGGAGTCAGCTGCATTAAAATCACTATTGACCGAAAGGTCATGACTTCGAAGCCAGCCCGGGTTGGAGTAAGCTCCTGACCATTTGTCTAACTTGCCGTCAACCTTTGCAGCCCGAAAGACAGTTGCATCTGTCAAGGAGGAAATCTAGGTACTGCTTATGCGGGGAGGCTACTTTAACTAATTTACGACACCATAAAATTCTCCAGCAGCGTGCAAAAGAACGAGGAAGTACTCTATCGGTGTCACAAGTGGATGGTGAAGCGAGAGCTCCCCCGGTGGCTGGAATTTGGATCATACCCTCATCAAGCTAGAAAGTTAAATAGCCTTTGTGTGTCTGGCTATATATGTTGTGTGTCTATGGCGTTGAATGTTTGTCATGTATATGTGCATTGTGATCCGCCCTGAGTCCCCTGCGGGGTGAGAAGGGCACACTATTAATACTGCAAATAAATAAGTAAGTAAATCCACTCTAGCGAGGCAAAAATGTAACACCATTTTTGTTCCTGGGTTATATCATTTCCTAACTGGTTCTATCATAAAAACATGGGGAAAGGTTATGAAAATGCAAAAACTTTGTTTCTGTAGGACATCTGTAGAAACATTTTGCTATATTTTTCAATGAATATCTCAACCAATTCAATATAGTTTGTGGCAGCAACAAAAACAAAGTTTCTGGAGTATAACAACTACATTCAATGTAAATACTTCTCAATTAAACAGGAAATAACACTCTCAAACCAGGAACAGATTTTTTTCAAATGCAGGTAATGGCTACCCTCTTATCCTATCCTGTCTGGCAGACATCTCACATTGAGAGTCAGAAAAAAACTCTGGACAAACAAGCCTGGATTTCGGAATTTATTTTCATATGAAGGTCAGACCCTGAATCAATTTGTTTCCAGTGTATGGAATCACGGGAAGGTGTGGAGGAAGAGACAAAAGGGGACGAAGGAAAAGTTCAGTTCATACCTTGAATGCTAAGCATCTGTCCAATCTTGAGGGCTGCCCCACGCATCTTGCAGAGTGTGTCCACAATCCGCTCTGCATTGGCCTCTGATAGGAAGGGGCTGGATTCTAATAAGCTGCCATCTGCAGAAATAATTTGTGGAAGAGGCAGAGTTTGAAAAAAGGTAGCAAACACCTGCCAGCCCCATCACCATTGCCACAACTCTTGGTGACATTTGATTCTTTCTAGAGCAGGGGCTTTTGCTTCCCATTTCTTTTGTTGTTGTTCATTCGCTCAGTCGTTTCAGACTCTTCCTGACCTCGTGGACCAGCCCACGCCAGAGTCCCTGTCGGCCGTCACCACCCCCATCTCCTTCAAGGTCAATCCAGTCACTTCAAAGATGCCATCCATCCATCTTGCCCTTGGTCGGCCCCTCTTCCTTTTTCCTTCCATTTTTCCAGCATAAATGTCTTCTCTAAGCTTTCCGATTTCCTTACCTTTGGATTTTTGCTCCCCATTAAAAGAGTTCTTTGCCACTTCCACCAAAGCTCCAAGTCCCAAACCCACAGCCAAACCTAAAAATAAAGGATTGGATTAGATGATAGTCTGGCTACTTGGGTCCTCTGTATCAGGAGAACAAAGCAGCTGGTGTGGCCAAGAAGTTACTCCAAAATCAGAGACAGAAAAGCATTGATTTCAGCACCCCTCCAGCACCAAGTTGATTTGTTTGTTAATGTACGACGGTTGAATGAAAAGTAATGCCTCCCCCTTCGTTACTTGGGTTTGGATGGGAATATTTTAATAAATCAAATGCAGAAATAATCCTTAGAATGTGCTCTTTAACTACCACTATTCACTTTTCCACATAATCGCCATACAATTGTATACATTTCTGCCAACAATGAACAAGTTTTCTGAAGCTATCACGGAAGAAGTTGACACTCTGTTTTTGCAACCAGCATCTCACAGGTTTCTCATCCTGGGTACCCATCGTGCACAAATATTCCAATAGCCAAGCAAAGCAATAATGTGACCCACACATTCTTGTGAAATGCCGATTATTTTGAAATTTCTCTCTGAGTGATATGACGATCGTCCTGAATCAATCTGTCAACCTTTTGCTTGTGAAACCTGGTGGGTGCTACCACAGGACATCTAACTCTTTATTTGTCACACAAGTCAAATGTTCCCACCTCAACATCTTTAAGCTCACTCGCTCAGTGACACACAGTCCTCACATCAACACAATCACCATAAAGAGCTTGCATTTTCTGATGAATCTCCTTTGGGGTGACACCTTCTGCTGTCAAGAATTCAATGACTGCACGTTGCTTAAGTCGCATTGACCGACCGTCTGCACAGGGTTCCATACTTTGCACTTTAACAACACAATTGTTCAATGCTAAGGCTTCCAGCCAAAATGGAACTGTAGAGGAAAGTCTAATGAAAAAGCCAATACATGCCGCATACCAGTACTGCCATCTGTTGAGTGGTTTACGAAGGTGGAGGCATTACTTTTCATTCAACCCTCGTAGTTTAGACCTCAGTGGAGGTGGATGCAGTATGCTTTTGGACTTCAATAGAAACAGATGTCTTTTTGACTTATGCAAGGACAGTTACTATATATTTGCTTTGAGAAGCAGTGAGTACAATTATACAGTTGGGACTTTCTTTATATGCTTAAATAGTTTGGAGTATGGACTATTGACTGAAAATGATGCCTTGTGTTCTCAATACAGAGAAACGACATCCTATCTGTAACTGAACTTTAATAGGAAATGTGTCTATATGTTGAATTAATTCAAGACGTTTATGAGTAAACAAGATATTTTACTTCTAAAAGAAGACTTTTGCTTTTGTCTCTGAGTGCATATTTTTAAACTAAGAGGTTTCAACATTAACCCCTCTCACATGCACACATACATGCACATGCTCATCCTCGACTGCTCACACCACAAACCTCACCTCCAAAGTTTGCAAACCGCCCGACGCGTGTAACTGGCACTTTCCGCTCCCGGGCTCTCTCACTAAGCTGAGGAATAAAGCAGAGATGAAAGAAACAGAAATCAAAGCCAAGCAGATGCCAGAGAGAGACACCTGTTTGGGAGCTTCCCAGAGGCAACTGCCCAGCAATAGAAACACAATGTGAGGCAGGACAGACATGCCTCTATTCTGCCTTGGTTAGACCACACCTGGAATACTGTGTCCAATTCTGGGCACCACAATTGAAGAGAGATATTGACAAGCTGGAATGTGTCCAGAGGAGGGTGACTCAAATAATCAAGGGCCTGGAGAACAAGCCCTATGAGGAGCGGCTGAAAGAGCTGGGCATGTTTAGCCTGAAGAAGAGAAGGCTGAGAGGAGACATGATGAGGTCCATATATAAATATGTGAGGGGAAGTCTCAGGGAGGAGGGAGCAAGCTTGTTTTCTGCTGTCCTGGAGACTATGATGCGGAGCAATGGCATCAAATGGTAGGAAAGACGATTCCACCTGAACATTAGGAAGAACTTTCTGACTGTGAGAACTGTTCAGCAGTGGAACTCTCTATCCCAAAGTGTGGTGGAGGCTCCTTCTTTGGAGGCTTTTAAACAGAGACTGGATGGCCATCTGTTGGGGGTGCTTTGACCCCGATTTTCCTGCTTCTTGGCAGGGGGTTGGACTGGATGGATCATGAGGTCTCTTCCAACTCTATGATTCTATTATTCTCTGCCTTCATTCTAACCAAAAGGTAAGTGATGATTTCAAATATTATTCCAGCTCTGATCCAAACAGAAAATTAATTGTTTGGAATACAGATACAACACTTAGTCAGTCCTTATTCTGAGTTTGCATTTAAAGATGCTTTTCTCTTGTTGCTGATTCCAGAATTACGCTCCTGACAAGACTCCCCAACCAAAGTGATACTTATATAAGAAAAAATATAGTTTACGGGGAGAGACATCGTCTTAGTACATGTCCCTTCTGGCCCACTGGACTGACATTTGCAAAAGCATAGTAGCCTGCTCAGCCACATTCTTCCACTGTCTACAGTCAGTTGGGAAATGGGTGGCGTAATGGAATCTAGCCTCAATTAGAGGCAGGCAATAACATTTTTATTTATTATTATTCATTATGCAAGAAATAAGCCTTACCTTCTGTCTCACTTTTACCATGCTCTCCGGGTCTTTCTTGGAACGAGATTCCCTGGCTTTCTGGATGTCCTCCTTTGTCAGGCCTCGGGATGATGCAGTCTGGTGAATCAGACGGGGGTGCCCTAAACTGGGACCAGCTGACCACCCTGAACGGTTTGTGATAGGGCTTCCTTCCCATAGTGAGCATTTCCCCTGGCAAAGGACACTTTCTTTTTGGAGAGATGCCGGCTGCTCCTGAGAGTCCTATAGAAAAACAAACCACTGTCTGTTAGTTTTACATGACAGATATCCTGCTCAGAAGCCCCACTACTTTCCGACCCCATCAATGGCTTTAGGAGCAAAGAAAGAGCCAAATCCAGGGCTGACACCACTCAGGTATACGTGTCCTACCCATTGCCAAACTACAAGGGTTGAATGAAAAGTAATGCCTCCACCTTCGTAACTCCTCAACATATGGCAGTACTGGTATGTGGCAGGTACTGGCTTGTTCAGTAGACTCTCCTCTACAGTTCCATTTTGGCGGGAAGCCTTAGCATTGAATGGTTGTGTTGTTAAAGTGTGAAGTATGGAACCTTGCCCAGACAGTCGGTCAATGCAACTTAAGCAACGTGCAGTCACTGAATTCTTGACAGCAGAAAGTGTCACCCCAAAGGAGATTTATCAGGGAATACAAGTTGTTTATGGTGATTGTGTTGATGTGAGTACAGTGCGTCATTGGGCAAGTAAGTTTAAAGATGCTGAGGTGGGAACATCTGACAAAGAGTTGGACGTCCTGTGACAGCAACCACCGAGTTTCACAAGCAAAAGGTTGACAGATTGATTCAGGACAATCGTCATATCACTCAAAAAAAATTTCAAGCATAATCTGCATTTCACAAGAACGTTTGGGTCACACTATTGCTTTGCTTGTCTATCGGAAGATCTGTGCCCGATGGGTTGCGGAAAAAGAGTGTCAACTTCTTCCTGTGACGGCTTCAGAAAACTCGTTCATTGTTGGCAGAATGTATCCAATTATCTGGTGATTATGTGGAAAAGTGAATAGTGGTAGTTAAAGAGCACATTCTAAGGATTATTTCCGCGTTTGAGTTATTAAAATATTCCCATCCAAACCCAAGTAACGAAGGTGGAAGCATTACTTTTCATTCAACCTTCGTATAACTAAAGGGAGGAGGAGGCGTATTTGCGGTGGGATGGTTTTGCTTTCGTTTCTGCTGGATCTAATCTATTCCAGAAGGATGGCAAGGAACAACAGCTGTGAGGCTTCAGGTAGGCTGATCTTGCACACCCCTTTCAATCCAAGGTGGTCCTTTAGGCTCTGCACATTTTCACGAAGAGCCACATCATCCTCTTCATACGATGACATTCAGTGGTGGCTAGTAAATCAGTGGCAAACTGCATTCACTCAACAGTGTAGATCATTGGTTCTCAACCTGTGGGTACCCGGATGTTTTGGCTTCAACTCCCAGAAATCCTAACACTGGCTGGGATTTCTGGGAGTTGAAGTCCAAAACACCTGGAGCTCGAAAGATTGGGAACCACTGGTGTAGATTAACCCCTAGTCCTTCAGCTTCCATCTATGCCAGTGGTTCCCAACCTTTGGGCCTCCAAGTGTTTTGGACTTCAACTCCCAGAAATCCCAGGCATCTTACCAGCTGTTAGGAACTGTGGGAACTAAAGTCCAAAACACCTGGAGGCCCAAAGGTTGGGAACCACTGGTGTAGATTAACCCCTAGTCCTTCAGCTTCCAACTATGCCAGTGGTCCCCAACCTTTGGGCCTCCAGGTGTTTTGGACTTCAACTCCCAGAAATCCCAGGCAGCTTGCCAGCTGTTAGGAACTTTAGGAGCTGAAGTCCAAAACACCAGGAGGCCCAAAGGTTGAGAACCACTGATCTATGCAATGGAAAATCACAGACTTTACAGACCACAGCTGTAGTGAGATTTATGCAGCCAGCTAAGTATTGTTAAATTGCAATTAATTGGGCCACGGTGGTGTAACGGATTAAACCGTTGAACTATCACATAGCAGTTTGAAGCCATGGGTTGGGATGAGCTCCTGCTGTTAGCCCTAGCTCCTGCCAACCTAGCAGTTCGAAAACATGCAAAATGTGAGTAGATTGATAGGTTTTTTTTTTGTCGTGTCAGGAGAGACTTGAGAATCTGCAAGTCACTTCTGGTGTGAGAAAACTGGCCGTCTGCAAGGACGTTGCCCAGGGGACGCCCAGATGATTTGATGTTTTATCATCCTTGTGGGAGGCTTCTCTCATGTCTCTCATGAGGAGCTGGAGCTGGTAGAGGGAGCTCATCCGCCTCTCCCTGGATTCGAACCTGCGACCTGTCAGTCTTCAGTCCTCTCGGCACAGGACTGAAGATTGATAGGTACCGTCTCGGTAGGAAGGTAATAAAAGCGCCCATGCAGCCATGCCAGCAACACGACCAGGAAGTGTCTACGGACAACAGGCTCTTTGGCTTGGAAATGGAAAAAGAGCACCTCCCCATGGCCGGAGTTCAGCACCGCCTCCAGAAGCCGGAGATGAAAGGGGAAGCCTTTGCCTTAGTTCTGTGTATTTGTGTATCATTATTATTCTACTGTATTAAAGGCACTGAATGTTTGCCTATCTGTGTATATTGTAATCCGCTCTGAGTCCCCTCAAAGAGATAGAGTGGAATATAAATAAAATGTTGTTATTATTATTATTTGAAACAAGACGAGTCTACAGCAGTTCAATTGTTAAATCCTATTATTATTATTATTATTATTATTAGAAACACAACAAGATGAGTCCACAGCAGACACTCTGCTGGCTGTTGAATTGGATCACACGTAGGACACTTCCCAAGTGTCTAGGACTGTGTGACATATCGGCGAATAATGCGTGCAGAACCCAGTAGGGTGGCCTTCTGCAGCTGGCAGATTATTATTACTATATTCTCTGCAGCCTCGGCCAGCTCAGTTATAAAGGTGAGGAATGCTGGGAGGTGTAGTTCTGATGAACTGAACACTCCGCTGAGAACGCACACTACAAAGTGAAAAAAAGAAAGCACTCTGCCAATTGAGCCTGCTGTTTAACTGATAAGCAGTGGGATCTCTATTAAGGCTGGAAGTGTTAATCAGCTTACTTGGGATCATTCGTCTATGGGAGCTGATGTTTGCGAGCAAGCCAGGCAATCTTGAATCAACCGCAAGATAGAATGTGAATCACAAATATTCCAAATTAAAATATGAACAATTGTTCTTGGAGGGTGCAACTACACCAGGAATGGGCAAACTTGGCCCTCCAGGTGTTTTGGACTTCAACTCCCACAATTCCTAACAGCCTACCGGCTGTTAGGAATTGTGGGAATTGAAGTCCCAAACACCTGGAGGGGCCAAGTTTGCCCATGTCTGATCTACACTGTAGAACGAATGCAGTTTGACACCACTTTAACTGCCATGGCTCAATGCTATGGAATCTTGGGGACTGTAGCTTTAGTGAGGCACTATTTGGCAAAGAAGGTTAAAGACCTTGCAAAACTGCAAATCCCATGAGCCACAGTAGTTAAATGGATGTTAAAATGTATTAATTCTACAGTGTCTCCCTGGGGAATGGAAGAAATTGGCACTTTTAAAGCTAAATATTGGCTTCTCAGTTTCTTCCACAAGTTAGGGCAGTGTTTCCCAACCTTCCTAATGCTCTGTCCCCTTAATACAGTTCCTCATGTTGTGGTGACCCCCAACCATAACATTATTTTCATTGCTACATCATAACTGTCATTTTGCTACTGCTATGAATCGTAATGTAAATGTATTGTCAAAGGCTTTCATGGCCGGAATCACTGGGTTGTTGTAGGTTTTTCCGGGCTATATGGCCATGCTCCAGAGGCATTTTCTCCTGACATTTCGCCTGCATCTATGGCAAGCATCCTCAGAGGTAGTGAGGTCACTACCTCTGAGGATGCTGCCATAGATGCAGGCGAAACGTCAGGAGAAAATGCCTCTAGAACATGGCCAGATAGTCCAGAAAACCTACAACAACCTAATAATGTAAATATCTGATATGCAGGATTTATTTTCATTCATGCGACCAAATTTCACACAAATACCCGATACATCCAGATTTGAACACTGGTGGGGCTGAGGGGGGGTTGGTTTTGTCATTTGGGGGTTGTGGTTGCTGGGATTTATAGTTCACCTACAATCAAAGAGCATTCTGAACTCCACCAATGATGGAATTGAACCAGACTTGGAAGACAGAACTCCCAGGACCAACAAAAAATACTGGAAGGGTTTGGGAGTTGTAGTTCACCTACATCCAGAGAACACTGTGGACTCAAACAATGATGGATCTGGACCAAGCTTGGCATGAATACCAAATAATCCTGAACGTGAACACTGGTGGAGTTTGGGGGAAATAGAACTTAACATTGGGAGTTGTAGTTCCTGGGATTTATAGTTCACCTACAATCAAACAACATTCTGAACTCCACCAACAATGGAATTGAACCAGACTTGGAACACAGAACTCCCAGGACCAACAGAAAATACTGGAAGGGTTCAGTGGGCACTCACCTTGAGTTCTAGAGTTGTAGTTCACCTACATCCAGAGAGTGCTGTGGACTCAAACAATGATGGATCTGGACCAAACTTGGCTCGAATACTCAATAAGCCCGAATATGAGCTCTGATGCGGTTTGGGGGAAATAGAACTTAACATTGGGAGTTGTAGTTCCTGGGATTTTTAGTTCACCTACAATCAAAGAGCATTCTCAGCTTCACCAACAATGGAATTGAACCAGACTTGGAACACAGAACTCCCATGACCAACAGAAAATACTGGAAGGGTTTGGTGGGTATTGACTTTGAGTTTGGGAGTTGTAGTTCAGCTACATCCAGATAGTACTGTGGACTCAAACAAAGATGGATCTGGACCAAACTTGGCACGAATACTGAATAAGCCTGAATGTGAACACTGGTGGAGTTCAGGGGAAATAGACCTTGATATTTGGGAGTTGTAGTTGCTGGGATTTATAGTTCACCTACAATCAAACAGCATTCTGAAGTCCACCAATTATAGAACTGAACCAATCTTGGCACTCAGACTTCCCATGACCAACAGAAAATACTGGAAGGATTTGGTGGGCAATGACCTTGAATTTAGGAGTTGTAGTTCATCTACATCCAGAGATCACTGTGGACTCAAACAATGATGGATCTGGACCAAACTTGGCACGAATACTCAATAAGCCTGAATGTGAACACTGGTGGAGTTTGGGGGAAATAGACCTTGACATTTGGGAGTTGTCGTTGCTGGGATTTATAGTTCACCTATAATCACAGAGAATTATGAATCCCACCAATGATAGAATTGGACCAAACTTCTGACATGACCAACAGAAAATACTGTGTTTTTTGATGGTCCTTGGCAACCCCTCTGAGAAACACTAACTTAGGGATTTCCTGATTGCATATAAGCACAGTTCCCTTCCTACCCAGACTTACCCTCCTGTGGCTGCTGCTATTGGCACTGATAGGCCGCCATAGGGCTGCCCTCCCATTGGGGACAACCCTGGCCCCCAAACACCGAATCCCCCTTCTCCAAGGCATCTCAGGTGTGCTCAGGGTGAGGGATCTGGGGTCATTGGGAAGCCTGACCCGGAACTAGGTGCATTTCAAAGAAATATTCAAATACTGCCGGTTTCCAGTTGCCTCCCACTCCTTCTGCACCGACTTCCGGTTGGAGGCTCAACGAGCAGGAGAAAGTGGCCAATCACGAGGCATCGCGTCATTCCTCGAGTTCGCAGCGGAGGCAGCCAATCAGGCGCGAGGAGGCGAAGGTTCTCTTCCCGCCCACTTTCATTCATGTTCTCATCCTGAAAGCATTCCAGGCTGAATACCAATCCAAGGGGGAGGGAAAGCAGGATTCCATTTTACAATTGTGGGAAAGCTTTGTTTTGGATCAGATGGCATATAATTCTCTGTGGAGTTGCAATACAATTTTTAAAATTGACACTGGCAATTGAGGTGCATCCACACTGTGAAATTAACGCAGTTTGATACCGTTTTAACTGCCACATGCTTTGGAATCAATGGGAGCTATGATCTAGTGTCCCACCAGCACTCTTTGGCAGGAACCTTGTGAAACTACAACTTCCATGAGCCCATAATTGTTTAATCCCTGTTTTATGCATTTTATAGAAAAGTTTTAATATGTATATTTTATAGAAATACATCTTTAATATGTGTATTTGTGGTATATCAACAATGTTTATGTGTTTTGATTATCCTGTAACCCACCTCGAGCCATGATGAAAGGCAGATAAGAAAAATATTATTATTATTATTATTATATATTATATATAATAATAACATGAATAGTACATCGCAATGAGTCGCCATTGGGCTGAGAATTGCGGTATATAAGCGAAGTAAATAAATAATATAATATAATATAATGAAGCCATGGCAGTGAAAGTGGGGTCAAACTGCATTAAGTCTACAGTGTAGATAAGGCATGGGAAAAATGTCTAACTTGGGGGCCGCATTCTAGCACTTCCTGCTAGAACTGGGAGGAAGGACGAAATGGAGGAAGGGAAGGATGGAAGGAGAAGGGGGGGCAGGAAAGAGAGAAGGAAGGATGAAAGGGTGGAAGTGAAGGATGGAAGGAAGGAAGTAGGAAAGGAAGAGGGAAGGAAAGACAAAAGGAAGGAAGGAGAAAGAGGAGAGAGGGAGAAGGAGGGAAGGAGGAGAAAGGTGGAAGGGAAGGATGGATGAAAGGAAGGATGAAAGGGTGGAAGCGAAGGATGGAAGGAAGGAAGGGGAAGGAGAAGAAGATAAAAGGAAGGAAAGAAAGATGGAAGGAAGGAGAAAGAGGGAGAGGGAGGAAAGATGGAAGGAAGAGAGAAAGGGGAAGGAAGGAAGGGAAGAGAGAGAGGAAGGAAAGAGAGAAGGAAGGAAGGATGAAAGGTGGAAAGAAAATGGAAGGAAGGAAGGAAGGAGAAAGGAAGAAAGAAGGAAGGGGAGGATAAAGGAAAGAGGAAGGAAGGAAGGAAAGAGAGAGGAAGGAGGGAAGGAGAATGAAAGGATGGAAGTGAAGGATGGATGGAAGGAAAGGAAGGAAGGAAGGAAGGAAAAGAGAAGGAAAGAAGGAAAAGAGAGAAAAGGAAGGATGAAAGGGTGGAAGGGAAGGATGGAAGGGAGAAAGGAAGAGAGAAGGAAGGATAAAGGAAAGAGAGAAGGATGGAAAGACAAAAGGGAAGGGAAGGAAGGAGGGAAAGAGGGAAGGAGAAAAAAGAGGGGAGGAAGGAGAGAAGAAAGGAAGGAAAGAGAGAAGGAAGGAGAAAGGGGAAGAAAGGATGGAAAGGAAGGATGGAAGGAAGGATGGAAAGAGAAAGGATAGAAAGAGGAGAGAGGGAGGAAAGAGGAAGGAGAAGAAGGAAGGAAGAAGGAGGAAGGACAAAGGGTGGAAGGGAAGGAGGGGAGGGGGGAGGGAAGAAAAGAGAAGAGAAAGAAGGATGGAAGGAGGAAGGGAGGAAGGAAAGAGAGAAGGATGAAAGGGTGGAAGAAGGATGGAAGGAAGGAAGGGAAAGGAGGAAGGAGAGAAGGAAGAGGAGAAAAGGAAGGAAGGAAGGAAGGAAGGAAGGAGAAGGAAAGGTAGGAGGGAGGGAGAGAGGGAGGTAGGAAGGAAAGAGAGGAAAGAGGGAAGGAAGGACAAAAAGGTGGAAGGGAAGGAGAAAAGGAGGGAAGGAGGAAGGAAAGAGAGAAGGAAGGGTAGGATGGTGAGAGAGAAAAGAGCCCAAGGGGCCTGGGTTTACCCATAACTGGTGTAGATACATCCAGCAATCATTTCCTGGTCCCTTTTGAATTGCAAACATCATAGATTGAGCCCTGGTTGCTCAGTGCTTAGAGAAAGACACCCTGTACATGCTCAGAGGCACTGATTATTACTATCTCAGAGCAATCCAGGGCTGAGAATTGACATTGACAATGGAGTTTGGGCTACGTTTAGGATCAGAGTAAGACTTTTGGAATTCTGATCCCAGTTGACTTTGGGTTTTTCCTTGTCTGAGTCAACATGCGATCAGACTTCCTGGCATTCCTAGACTGATCTAAGAAAGAAGATTCCTATCTGGGGAAAGGAAACAAAAGAAAGGCAAACAAAACTGTCTTGGGACCAGCTCTTGAGCAACTTGGGAGATGAGATGACAAATTCCAAAACAGATGGAAAACATTGCACGCAAATGGGACAGAATCACAGGATGCTCTCAGTAGTGACTCAAAGGGAGAACAAACTGTTTATTGACAGCAATAGGACACAATGCCATCCACAATGTTTAGAATAGACATTCTAAACTGATTCCGAATGAAGCCATGAGCTTCTGGCCACACCTGGAATACTATGTCCAATTCTGGGCATTGCAATAAAAGGGAGATGTTGACAAGCTGGAATGTGTCCAGAGGAGGGCGATTCAAATAATCAAAGGTCTGGAGAACAAGCCCAATGAGGAGCAGCTTAAAGAGCTGGGCATGTTAGTTTGCAGATTAGAGGGAGAAGAGACAGGACGAGGGCCATGTATAAATATGTGAGAGGACATCATAGGGAGGAGGGGGCAAGCTTGTTTACTGCTTTCCTGGAGACTAGGATGTGGAACAATGGCTTCTAACTACAAGAAAGAAGATACCATCTGAACATGAGGAAGAACTTCCTGACTGTGAGAGCCGTTCAGCAGTGGAATTCTCTGCTCTGGAGTGCGGTAGAGGCTCCTTCTTTGGAGGCTTTTAAACAGAGGCTGGATGGCCATCTGTTGGGGTTGCTTTGAATGTGATTTTTCTGCTTCTTGGCAGAGGGTTGGACTGGATGGCCCACAAGGTCTCTTCCAGCTGTAGGATTCTATGATAGAGTCTCCTCTGGCGGTTTTAAAGCATAGACTGGATGGCCATCTGTCATGAGGGCTTTGATTGTGTTCCTATATCGCAGGGGGTTGGATTGGATAGCCCTTGGGGTGCCTTTCAACTATATGATTCTATGCAAATATGAAGCCTGGATGGATCAGTTCTTTAGATCTCAAGAAGTGAATGATTTATTATTGCTGTTGTTGTTGGTAAAAAGAATATACAAACCAGAAGAGGCTGTAACAATTTGATTTTCATATATATATATATATGAGAGAGAGAGAGAGAGAGCTCCATGTAGTGATGCTGGCCACGTGACCTTGGAGGTGTCTAAGGACAACGCCAGTTCTTTAGCTTGAAATGGAGATGAGCACCACCCCCCAGAGTCAGACACAATGTCAGGGGAAAACCTTTGCCTTTTTAATATATATTATTTGTTGCATTTGTATTCTCCCTTTATCCCACAGTGGGTCAAAATGCTGCTTTCAAAAATAAGAAATTAAAACATTCTTGAAAACCATTAAAACCACATTTGTAGAGTGAGACTCCCATTTCTCCTTTCCTTTAGTTATGGAATGCTGGGAGTTATATTTTGGTGAGGCACCAGCATTTTTGGCATTGAGCCATAGCAGTTAAAGTGGTGCAAAGTGCATTAAGTCTACAGTGTAGATGCACCCGCTGACATTTTGAAGCCGGACGGAGAAATTGCAAAATGACGCAGGAAGATATTGTTCTCGCTGCCAAGCTGTGCAATAACCTCTTGCACAAAAGGTGGGTGGGGAGGGAAAGAGAACTCTGCTCCCTTCATCTCATTTGTTTAGCGTTGTACTGGAAAGTATGCGCACACATGTGTGTCTTTGCATGCGTCTTTCTCGTGGCCAATGTCCTCACAGTCGTTGTGCAAAGATTGCCTTGATTTCACGGCAGCCTGATTTGAAACATTCGCCAGGCCTTTTCAACGTGCCTCTGGGTAAGGTGCATCTACACCGTCGAATTAATGCAGTTTAAGACCACTTGGACTGCTATGGCTCAGTGTACACTTTAGTGACATAAACCCAGATTGAAGTAAGCTGAGGAAAATGCCAGGAGAGGAGGTGCATCTAAACTGCAGCATTAATGCAGTTTGGTATAGCTTTAACTGCTGTAGGTGAATGTTCATAGTTTGGCAAGGCACCAACACTCATTGACCCTGTAAAATCATAACTTCCAGCATCCCATAGCATTGACCCATAGCAGTTAAAGTGGTATTAAACCACATTAATTCTACAGTGCAGATGCAATCAGTGTCTCACAGTATGTATATTGTTCCATATTAATAACATTAGCGTTCTTATTCACACTCTGATGTTCTTTGGTCACATACGATTTCATTAAAGATTTCCCTTGACTCAATTCTATTTATCACAGGACGCTGAAACTGCACATGTATAATGCTTACTTTTTTACTTAGGCAATTCCTCGTAGCTCGAGGATGATTGTCTTCCAGATGTGGTGCTTTGGAAGTGGGTCCGTAGGTGGCTGTGGACCCCTATTCTTGATCTGCATGTTCTCCCGTAGTGAGGACATTGGTTTCCAGATGGAAGGCGGCCCCAGTCAGAGTTGGCTTGACGTGCCTTCCTCTTGGCACATCAAGAGGAAGGCCCTTTCACCCTCCATTCGTGCTTCTTAGAATTCTGCAGCACTGCTGGTCACAGCTGACCTCTAGTTAGAGCACTCAAGGGCCAGGGCTTCCCAGTTCTCAGTGTCTATGCCACAGTTTTTGAGGTTGGCTTTAAGCCCATCTTTAAATCTCTTTTCCTGCCCACCAACATTCCGTTTTCTGTTCTTGAGTTCGGAGTAGAGTAC